GCAATACTACTGGAATCATTATTTGATGCAGCAACATCATCAGCAGCTTACCAACCCGGATACCACAACTTCTCCTCCCACCACCACACACCACGCCTACAGCCCCACAGGCACCTATGGCCCACTCACCCACGCACTTCGTACACACCACGTCCACCACTCCAACCCGTATGTGACTCCACCGTACACACCGCCATCGCAGCATACACCCCCACCACAGGCATCCACCTCACAGCCGGAGTTTCCACCTCCGCCACCGCCACCCCTGCCTACGGCCGAACCCGTCACTCCACCACCATCGACGTTCCAACACAGCCCACCGCCACCACCCACCGCACGTGGCAACACAGCGCCTGCCCCACCACCCCCACACATCCCATCCCCCACACCACCTGTTCCCGACTCTTGGAACCCAACCGAGCAACATTGGGACTCCAACACGCTGCACGGCCACCAACTACATCGTACAATCCAACCCACCCAGTGGTCTCGAAAAGCGGCGTGGCAGGACTCCCCACCTTCGAGGTTTTCCCGTGGCAATTGGCTTACCACGGCGCCTCCGAGTTCACCGCCCGTACACTGAGCAACGGCAAATACACAGGTTTTATTGCCACCAGAAGCATAGCGGAGTCGGTTTTCGTGACCCATTTTCTCCAACAACTCCGTGAGAAGCGCCTTGACCTTGACGGCATCGCGGAGGCCCTCCACACCCAACAGAGCACAGACATCCCCAACAAAACCACCCATGCCCGAGCGTTTCACGCTCCCCTCATCAAACTACTTATCGACCAACTGCAAACCCACTCTCCAGCACCTGCGGAAGGCACCGCTCTACGCGCCCTCAAAAACACCAACGACGAACTGGCTCGTGCACGTCAGAAACTCCAAGACCTGGGCAACCCACTCACACCAGTCAAGAGCACCAGCCGATCCTCCGCACCAGCCGCCCCATCTCACGCACCCACTCCACCACCACCAAAACCACCAGCCCTCACCGACGTCTTGCAACCACCACACCCCACGCTGCAAGACGATATCCCCGAAGGCTGGAACCACCCAGAGATCCAACAATGGGTCACTACTTTCGACCCCACCATCCAAGAAGCTGCCAAGGACGTCGTCCGTCTGCTGCAAACAAGCAAAGTCACCACGCAGCAGCTAAAAGAAGCAGCCACAAAGTATGGCCTACCCCTCAACCGGGTCAACCGACTCCCCATTCGCAGCCTACAACAGCTGGTGGGTGTTGGTGCAGCCATCGGTTGCTGACTCGCCATCCTTGCCCAGCAGCAACCCAGCCACACCAACCTCACCCAACTCTTCCACTTGCACCGAGCACTCTCTATGCTCATTCACCGCACCCAATACATCGACCGTGCCGAGGCCATCTTTGCAACCGGCCTTATCCATATCACCCTCCTTTTCGCATACCCTTCCAACACCCGTCGCTCACAACAATGGCGCAACCGTCTCCGCCAGCTCCACATTTTGCCCCACACCTACCACTACCACAACTTCCTCTCCTCCAATTCAGTCTACATCAAGCTCCACTTCAATCCCGACCAGCCCCAACGCTGCTACCATCAGCATGGCCACTTCTATGTTGGCTCCACAGCTATTGGCATCCCCCACCGCGAGCACAATCGCCGCGCCAAACTCAAACAACTCCAAAACAACATTCCCATTTCTGCAGAACTCTCCTTACGTTATTGGCATTCACACAACAACATCCACCACTACACCACCATTCAACTTACCTCCCATGACACATATGACCAAGCCTGGATCCAAGAGCACCACTACATCGCAAACTGGATGCCTCCGCTCAACTGGCCTTTCATTTCCCACCACCTCAAGCTCAAAGCTCAGGGATGGCAGTTCACAAAACACAGAGCCCACTTCTACTCCAGATTAGCCACCCACAAACGACTTTTCAGACGCCTTCGGCAACGCCAGTACACCCTCAAAGAACCACACCTCTACACCTCCACCAAGCATCACGCCCTCCAACTTCTTCGCAACCTTACCAAACACACCGCAGCCTCCTTTGAAGCAGCCAAAGAGCTACGAAGCGGCCGCCACACGGACCTCGAAGTCTATGCAATCCGGCGCATGGCCGCAAACCTGGAAGAACCTGGCCGCAGCCAAGCTCTCCACATCCTCAACAAAGCCCTGATCTACCGCAACCTCACGCCGCCAAAACAAAACATCCCATTGACAGTGCCCTTCTTGGCCCATGACGACTTTACTAAGCACTGCCAGCAGTGGCTTCGTACTACCATCCAGCAGCACAAGCAGTTCACCATTCCCCTCCACCTCCCCTCCCACAGACTGAGAGAAGCCGCCCACAAAACCCTCCGCTCCCACCTGCATAACCACCGCACATGGGAGGACACCCTCCACTCCCCGCCAGATCCAGCAGACCTCCCCTGTGCATGCGATCACCTTCGCACCCTCTTGCAGGATCCCGATACCCCCACCATCAACGGCCACTACATCCTTACACTGGACCAACTCCAACTCCCTACACACCTCGGCATTTTTCTCAACGCCAATATGAACAGCACCTATTACCCAAGCAAAGCTCGATACTTCCTCATATTCAAGACGGCCTACACAAAATGGCTCAAACTACAAGGGCTTCCACCATCCCTCGTTCAGCATTTACAACCATTCCTTGAGCACCAATGGCGCCTTCACAACACACACCTCAAGCAACAACCCCGCTTTACGGCTCGCCTGCTTCGCCAACTCCAAGAACATTTGGGCAAACACACATTACTCCACCATGCCGATCATGAGCTCCAACAACTTCGGCTGTTTTGCCCTCGCCAATATTTCACTGGCGCCTTGAACACCTGGCAATCCCGCGAACTTTTCGAACCACTTCCCTACATCAATGCCGCCAACATCCACGACCACCTGGCCGCCACTGTCCCCCCCATCCTGCGCACTCGCTACAAGTGGGGCTTCCGAAAAGACTTCAACATTCCCTACGGTGTTGTCCACCTCAAGGAGAAGAAGCACTGGCAAAAAGGCCGTACAATCATTTCATACTTCCAATCACTTAGTGGCAACCTGCTACGCATCACCAGCCGTGCCCTTGACATCATCCTCCAACACCTCTACCCTCAACATCCAGGCCAAATGTCCATTCCCCAGCTTTGGCACCACTTTCACAGTTACCTCACCCAAACCCCACCAGACATCTCACTACACGCCACCAACGATGACCTGGTCGGCTTTTTCAACTCCGTTCCCCAGCACCGACTCATCGACGCAGTTCACTCCTTCGTCCACCACTGGCAGCAACAGCAATCCACACACACCTTAACGGTGGATGTCCAGGCCACCGGCAATCCTTTCCACCACTCACACATTGGCAGACACCATCAAAAACACCCCACCCAACGCACCATCCAGACTTCCGACATTACCACCATCGTGGCTTTTGCCCTCAACACATGCATTTTCCGGGCTTGCAACAATACTTACAAACAAATCCGAGGGGCCGGGATTGGATCCCAGCTCTCTCCAGCCCTATGCAACGTTGCCATCACCCTCATTGAGCATTCCTGGCATCAGATCCACAACAACCTCCTCCAACACACAGACCTCCACTGTACTTACTATCGCTATGTCGACAACCGCTTCATTGTCCACAACGAACATTTCCTTCAACACCCGGCTATCCAAACCCTCATCCACCACAATTTCTTTGGCGACCCTGTGGAACTAGAACCGGTGGAGGATTTTCATCTCCTCGGTTTCAACATCGACCTCCCACAACGCACCATCACCTACATGCAACCTTCTCAACCCTGGAAAATCCGGGATTCCACCACTGCCGGGAGCCAGCGCTTGGCTCTATCAGGCCTCCAATCACGACTTCACACCATTCGAAAATACACATTTCCACCCTCCAGCGCTGACGCTGCTGCGGCCGAACTCGTGAATCTATATGTCCAAAAAGGGCATAACTATCACGCCTGCCACCGGTTTTTGAAAAAAGCGCCGAACGCGGCGACCTGTGTGTGTCCACCCCTGGACAAAGGGTCTTCCACTACCACTCTTTCCATGCTTTTCAACTACCTTGGACAACCACTTTATAGGAGCAGGGGGATGGAGAGGACATGTGAGGCTCCATCCAACGAAGCTCCTCACATGATCCTAGGATATCGGCCAGGACGCTGGCCGACGTACCTGCTCGTTCTTTCACAAGCTGTTACACCACTCTTCTGCGCTTTGTTTCATGGTCCTTCATGTTTCTCCCCCTAAACCAGCTCCTCCCCAGCAGCGCTGCAGCTTGAACCGCTTCGTCACCGCAGTCAAGAGAAACAACTTTTGTTCAAACATCTACAATTTTCTCGGACCTTTCGCCATGCTGTTCCACCACCTTCCTTCCCAGCGGAGAGATTGAGCTTTAACGGAAAACCAGTGTCGAAGTGTGTCTTCGGTTGCGAGCCCACAGTTTGCATCCATCAAAGATGCACCATGTTTCACCCAATGGAGTTCACTGCTGATTCGACTCCACAAGCTGATGTAGAGAATTTCAAGGCATGCTGAGTGGTGAATGGTAATTATTTGAGTTTCAGGACAATGTTGCAGTTGAGGGGACATGTTGTGGTTTTGCAGTGTCCAGTGTCCAGATGTCTATTTCTGAGTTCTTGAACATTCATCAGCCGGAAATCCGTAGAACTTCGACTGGCAGAGTCCTGTTTCCTGCCCATCCCCTGCAGTGGGAAACATCATCTCAGTATATAGAATGATTGGAGTTTTCCTTTTCTATTTTTTTTTTTTATTTAAGTTCAATATTATAGTGACATTGAGTAACTTTTTAAGTAGTACAATTCTAATATTATGCTTTGAACGATAGGAATTGTATGGAATTGTATTTTTAACTTCAATATTGGTGTGTATAACATATAATACGTCTTACGTGCTGCCGCCAGCGGAACTGGAGCTTCTCCCAGCCTTTGAGCCCGTCCGAAGACCGTGACCAGGAGCGATCCGGCACAGCGGCAGAAGGAGCCGTCGCGTCGAGTTCACGAGCAGAGGGTGGGAGGGGTGGAACTTGTTTCAACATGGTTTCAACCGGCAAACGGCTGACAGGGATGGTTGACCCGGGCATTCCCTAAGTGACCCGGGCATGAAAACATGGGGGAGAAACCCAGGGTTTGCTGAAGCGAATGCAGGGCATGGTGGTGTTGGTCCATGTGGCACTCCGACGTTTCTTGCTGTAGTTAGCTTTGTCGAGTTGGAGTGCAGTGCAGATCGCTGCTTGCAGCCTTCAACACTCATCTCCAAACGCTTCTTGTTTTGACCATGGCAACGATTGAGAAGATCATCTCCTTAAGGCTTGAGTACGCAACAATGTGTCCTGTGGATTATATAATGAAGAAACATGAAGAAACATATTGGGATGTTGTACCATTCATGTTTGGTTTGGGGGTGATCCCGGATGTCTGATTAGTCTTCAGAGATTGACCTCTTTTACGGTATCCCTATTTTGATGGATCTGGGAAGGGTGCAAGACCTTTCAGCCGGTCATTTGTTGCAGAGTTGTCACACTTTCCAATGTCTAAGAGGCCTACAGCAAGGCATTGCTTTTATGCGAATCCGGAAAAAAACCAAGCTCTAGTTGGGCGCTATGCTTCTGCAGCTCCAGCCGCATTCAGGACGGCTGGATGCCGATCCACTTAGCCGCACGCTTCGGGCACGAGAAGGCCAACGAAGGGCGGCACCGAAGGGCACTCGGGGCGTTCGCGCGGGGGTGACAGGGGTAGACCAGAAGAAGCAATGTAGGAATGAGTTGTAGGATGTTTTCCAAACCGATTTCAAGGGTACTCATGTTCTTTTGGTCGTCGAGGGTACGGTGTTCCGGCGGCTTGCTTCGCTTCAGCAGGGGGGAACAGGTCTTCGCATCGGGGCGCTGGACGCTTCGATGGGCGGGCGGCCGGAAGAAGGGCGAAGAACATTCAAAACGGAAGGGCGCCGGTCATGGCTGGCCGATGACACGACGTGGGTCAATGCCGGGAGAACTATGGAGAACTTCGTTGACCCCAAATCAACAGGCTAGACTACCAGACATGGTCAAGCTGCCAGGGACAAGGTGAAAAGAGGTTTTGACCAGGGTCCACTGGGTCCATCGCCTGGACGCGGAAGGTGATCAAGGCCATGATCGAAGCGGGCTGTGATCCCAACGTGGCTGGTGTTTATGGCAAGACCGCTGCGCATTGCTTGGTGCAGAGGGAGAGTGCCCTTGATGCGGTTTCATTCATTAGAGGCCTTGGGTTTGTAGAGTAACGTCCAAGGCATACATGGCCTTTTACTATTGGTTGAAGATTGAAGGTTGATCAATAGAGGGGATACCCCCCAGTGAACAACCAATAAGTGAATGGTACCAAACCGACCCCTTTATTCTTCCCAAAGGGACATCACTGGTCCAAGGGTTACAGCATCAAAGAGTTTGGAGTTGGAGGGCCATTCCAGAACCCTTTCAGCACTTTTTTCGTCATGGGACACACGGCCTTCAAGTCACAGCGGGGCTTTGACATGTCAAGTAGATGGTTTGGGGGGGATTATGTGTTCCAGACAGTTTGTTGGCTGGTTTGGGGGCATTCTTTTGCACTCCAAACAATTTGTTGGCTGGTTGAGGGAGATTCTAATGTGTTCCAAACAGTTTGTTGGCTGCATTTCAACCCAAGCCCAGAGATGATGGATGGGTTGTTTTGCTTTGCATTGAATTGGTCGGTTGCGAAGAGAATCAAGTCTATTGCTCCCAACAACTTGCAAAAGGAATTGCGAGCATGTTCATCCTTTCCCAGCGCAATTCCATGCCCGTCCCACCAACATGACTTGTTCGCTCCCCGCACGGTCCCACACTCCACATATCATCTACACCTCCAGGTCCGCCGTCCCGCGTCCCTCGACGGGACAGAAGACTCTCCCGGACCCCGCACCGACCGGGACGTCACCGGGCACGTGCACGTCTCGCGACCCGAGAACTGCATCTGGGCTTCAATGAGCTCCCCTTGGATGTCCTTGAGGCGGACCACGGGGGCCGCAACGTGTGGCATCTCGCAGCAGCGTTAGGTCACACCAGGCGGGCCGCGGCAAAAGAACACGGTGGGGGAACACCACGGAAAACGTGGCGGTGTTTGCAACAGGGGGTGATGCTGAACTGGAACTGGATCAATGTGATTTGGGTTGCGAAAGGGTGCAATAGGATCCGTGGGGGTTCTTTGGTTCAAGCTGAATCATCTGAATCTAAATGCTAACTCAGCTTTTTTTACGATTGACAGATTGATGATTGACTTTAGTAATAAAATTATCTAAACATAGACCCTCAATCCAGTTCTTCAAGAATCAGTCAGGTTATCTTCTGGTCCTACGGAGTCCTAATTACGCCTCTTTTTATGCTGTAACCCGGGGCTGGTCAGACGGCCATTTCTTCCAGATTCCAGACCGTCCAGACTACTTCGTTGCATTTCGCCCAACCACCCCGCTTCTCCGAACGAAGCGAACGAGGCGAGCGGAACACCCCGAACGATGCCCCGGAGGTACTTCAACCTCTACGTCCTCGCCCGAAAGAACTCTCAGGGTTGCAAGTACATGAAGGTCCTCTTCAGCCTGGACGAAGCTCGGAGGAAGAGACCTTCCGCGGTTTTCGGCGGTCACTGGGGGGTTGGGGGGCGGTTGGTGAGCGATTTCGGGGTGAAACGGAAGGCTTTTTTTGGATATGTTGACAGACTGCAGGTCAGTCTAGTTACAGTACATTCTCAATGATTTTTGTTCCTCTCCATCGCCATCGCCACTTGCCGAGGCCAAGGGTCGCACGCCCTTGCACCTGGCAGCCGAGAAGGGGCAACACCTGGTGGCCACTGGGATTGCTGGTGGGGTGGTGTTGACTCACTCTTGATCTAATATATAACCCACCTACATAAAGATGTCTCCAGTCACCCTCTCTAAAAGGTATGTGAATCCCCTAGGGGATTGTAAAACCGCTTCATATTGGGGGTGTGGAAATACAATCAAGAGTCTACAGTCTACATGTTCAGGAGTTCTCCAACTGTTCAACACTCTCTACTCAGTTCAACCCGCAAGCTACAGCGGGTCAGAATTGTACAACTCGCTCATACTCGCTCCAAATCACGCGGCGGGGCTGGGGAATCTACAGGCATTTCAAGAACCTGTTGAAAACCATTTTGAAACCAGCAAGAAGCTGCTGTGGGAGTCGACCCCCTCGACACGTGTCGACACGTGTGGGCTTAGTGTGTGCGGGCTGAGGTTGGATCGTGTGGTTTTCCAACAGGACCATGGACCTTTCTGGTTGGTAAACTGTCTGGTAGACATGTTTACCCCGTCTCCACTGATCGTGTGGCTTACCCTCTTTCATCCAGCAGGTCCGGACAAGCCCAGAATGCCTGACATTCAGATGCTGCTCAGCAGGACCAGCCTGGACCAGCCCGTCCTCCGCGAGAACCAAAACGGGTCTTCTCCGTCCCCTGCAAATCACTGGAGGAAAAACGTCCACGACACCGTTCTTCGGGGGTGTTGCTGGTTTTTCTCTGTTTTGTGCCTCTCAACACTCACACTCACACTTCTCTCTCTCTCTCTCTCTCTCACTCTCTCACTCTTTTTCACACACTCACTCTTTTTCACACACTCTCTCTTTTTCACACTCTCTCTCTCTCTCTCTCTAGAGTTTGGACACTGGTGACACGACACCTATGTAGCCAGTTTGTTTCTCTCTGTGGTTGTATCCCCTTTAGGACTCTTGGTTCCGTTGTGGTGGCTTTCCGCGGGTCTTGCCGACGGCTGGGTCCCAGAGCCGAAAGTGGTGAGAACCAGAAAGCCGCGCCTTGCAGAGCCGTTGTGACGTTGTGACTTGCAGAGCCGAGCGTTTCAAAGGTGAAGCAGATCCTAAGCATCTTCTTGGACGAGGAGGGCCACTTTGAGCCCCGTTCTTCGGTCGGAATCGGAGGTCGAGCGACGTGGCCGGAGGGTCGGTTTCTCCGGTCGGAGCCACGTGGCCGAGAGCGTGTCGACTGGATTCCGCCTTCGGCAAGTTTGATAGTGGGCATCAACAAATATGTTAATAGGATTTAATGGGATCCATGATTAGTAAATAGTTGTAAGGTTGGATCTCAACAAATATGTTAGGAGATGTGAAAAATCCAAATATGTGTTGATCATGATTTATCCGGTTTGGCAGCTTGAGTTGTGTCTGGAAGTAAGCTGGTGACAAGTCAATTCTCGGACTTTGACCTAGCACTGTCACCGAGGCCCTCCAAACCTCAAAGCCTCAAACGAAATGGCAGGGACCACAAAAACAAAACCTTAGGAACACCGCAAACACCTGGTCAAAATGAGGTCAACAAGTCAGTCAGGGGAGTGAGTCATACACACCTATGCGAAGTCTAAGGGATACTGAATGATTACTGTACATGTTTCAAAACAAATGTGGGTTCGCATATGCCCAAGGCTTCTGACGCCCCCCCTCCTGCCAAGGCGGGACAGGACTTAGTCTTTATGAAAGTTTGCAGAAGTTTTTGTAAAAAATGAGTGCATCAATTCGTCATTATGTTATGTGTTTGTTTTAATCATTAGCAAGGTTCTGTGATGTACAGCATGCATTTGTGATACAACCCAAAAAATCCCAAAAACATTGTTCATACCTTAATGTTCAAAAAAAGACTTAGAGAATTGGCCAAAACACCGCAAATACCAATGAATCCTTTGAACAGATACAGTAGACCTCCTTTGGAGCTTACCATTATGTCTATATAATATGTAATATAATGAAGAAGTTCTCCTGCAACACCTGGATTCCCTGCAAAGACCTTTTTTTCGCCGGAGTTGGCAGGCGTTGGCTGGCGTACATGTGTTGCACTTCTCCAATTTTGGATGTTTGGGAGATGAATACAGTGGTTTCAGCCAAGTTCTGTGGTTTAGGGTTTCCTACATGTTGCACAATCCCCTGCGTGCTGTACATGTACCGTACATGTGCTGACAGCTGGAACTTGCTGTGCTGAGAGCTGGAACTTGCTGTGCTCTGTGATGGAGCTGAAGGTTGGGATCTGAAAGAGACCTACTACCGGCGGAAGGAGGAAGCCGCTTTGGAGGACCTCCTCCACGATGAGCCGCTCGGACATTCTGGACCCTGGGACACTGGGGTCCCAGAGCGGACAGAAGTCTCGGGTTTCTCAGTGAGGTTTCATGGACGGATGAAGGATTGACATGTTTAGAGAAGAGGGTCAGCAATGGTTCTTTTCATTTCTTTTCCTGGGGAGGGCAGGGGCAAACTGGGCAAATGAGGCAGCCGTAAAAGGACCTGTTGGTGAACACAATTTTAAAGTGAAAAGGAGCATGCCACGTGGTTTGATGATGTGTTCACTCATGCTGTGAGCTCCCCGACGAGCGTGACAAGAGACCAACATAATTACCTATGAATTGCCCCGCTTAAGACAATTAAGTGTCATTTCGGTCTAAACGTGTTCGGCTGCTCATCCTCCCCAGTCTGGCCTAGCAAAGAACCAATTTCCCTCCCCGACCTGCAAAGACCTCCCGGGCGGCCTTCCGACTCATCTCATATGGAAGACCGGAAGAGGGGTATCCGGGAAGGTTCAACCCAGCGAGCCGTGTTGTTTGGAACTGGCAACCAGTGTCGGTCAGCATCCGCAACCGCATCCAAAGCCTTACCTGCCTTACCTGCGGCCTTCCATGTGTTCTTCAAACTCGAGCTCCAGTCGGCTGGTGTTCCAGCATGGCTTGGCAGTCTTTGACAGTCATCCAGGTAAGCCTTGAGAAGTTAGAGTCCGAGAGCCATGTGGCAGTGACATGCCAGAGCCTGGCAGGTGAACACATTGGCGTTCTCCGGCTGCAGGCAGATGACACCCTGCATGCCCTGGAGGATGGTCTCCTAGGACTCTGTGCTTGGGACGGTGCAACAGATGCTTTGCAGATCCACTGCATGGAAAAGCCGGATGTGGATTTGAACAGAGGCAGCTTGGTGTCTGAGTATGTTCCAACTGGTCAGTTAGCAATCAAGAGAAACAGATTGGGCAAGTTGCTTGAGAAGTTCCACCAAACAGGAAAGCTTCTTAAGGCTATGAGAGACTCAGCATTCGATCCCAGGTCCACACTCTACAATAGACGCTGGAAGTCAAGCCAAGTGGCGGTGTCGAATTCCGAGACTCTCGAACTTCTTGAGGCTCTTCCAATTCCAGAGATCAGTCACGTGCGGTTTGTTCAAACATTTGGGCATCTCACGGTTGATCTGGAGAAGTGCACTTGGCTTGATATGATGTTCCATGATTTTGCTGGTGGCTGGCAGCTGGTGAGACACGCATATTGCGGACATTGGCTGGAGCTTGCATGCTTTGTTGCAACCAATCGAATCCCTTTGGTGCCTCCACCTATCGCTGCTATGCGTTACGATGACCGTGGATATCGCATCGGCCTGATAATGCTAGGTCATTCCTTTCCAAGCAATTTCGAGGCAGAAGTCCGGTCCGTGCCGGATGGACCACTTCCAACCTTAGACTTTGAAGAATGCTTGCACGCACTGCTTTCACTGGACTTAAATTGGGATCAGGAAGCGCATCATGCTTCACAGATCTTCAACTCTGCTTGGAGGCCGCGCTCGCGCGCGCTCGCCCAAATCAGCTTATGCTTTGTGATCTTGTATCAAGACCTCAGTTTCAATGTTTTTGCTTTTCCTAGCGAACAACAGCCTACTGAAATAGGACGCAGAGACCCAGTACTTTGGTTTGTTTGTCTCCTTGAGTCGTAGTCTCTAAGTCTCCATTTGTCCCTTCGCGGGTCAACTGGTCACTGGATGATCAGATCCAGGACACGAGCGCCTGCCCTGCAGGGCAGTGATACCTTGAGGCTAGTCCACGTGCAGCTGAGACTTTCCAGTGTGGGAGTCGCCGAGGTGGAAGGCGAATCTTGGCGAAAGCTTTTCAGGTAAAACCGCCCGGCGGTTTTAAAAGATTGACGGATAGGGGGAAAGCCGTGGAATGGGGGAAAGGCGTGGAATGCGTAGTTTTACTAAGTCCTTTTTCATGCAGGGTTCCTCCAGTTCCTTCCTGTTGGCTTTGGCAGCGGGGCTTTGCAGGGTGTCGTGGGTTTGCATTGAAAATGTTCACAAAGCCAGGAACTGGATAGAAGGCAGGTGGATTGTGTAGCACGACTACTACGCTACAGATGTTACACCCGATGCTATACCTGCTTGGATGACAGAGGCTTGCAGGGGACACTGAAGACTGCTGTGGCCGATTTCCAAAAAGGCAAAGAGCGAGGCGAGGCAGGTTTGACGAACACCATGATTGAATTCTAGCCGCTAGCCAAGTTTAGCATGTTTAGCCGCTAAACTGTGTATCAGATATCCTGATCCTAGCGACTTTTTTCCTGCTGGCAGGAGTCTTGCTGTTGATCTTGGGCCTTTCAACTCCGAATTCTGAAGAGGAGAACTTTTCAACATGTTCACGGCTTATCCGCGAGTGTTCAGTACCTGTGCGTTTCATCCTTTGCTGCTTGCTTTGCCAAGAGGGGGTACCACACCTAATCTTGTTTTTGTTACTAGTAGCAAGGCACCTTGCTACTAGTAGCTTCTAGCTACTAGTAGAAATGCCCTTGTTACTTCGTAGTTTCTTGTTACTAGTAGCGGCTTTGTTCTGATTTATATCTCGGTTCTTGGATTCACTTCAACACCTGACAGACAAGTAAGGCTATCCGAGCCACCAGCTTTCTGACGAGCAGCCTGCCGCGAAGCGCCGGAGATACACCACGAAGCACCCGCCCTAAGCGCCCGCAATCCCAGCCGAGCTGCGGCACTTGCCGATGGCGAATGAGCTGAGCATGTGAGCTCACATGATCCTTGAAGCTGTTTGTCAGATAAATTTGAGCTCATATTTGTCACATGAGCTATTTGTCTCAAACATTTGTCAGATCATCTGTCGGTGGATCGTTGTTTGTCCTGAAATGAGTGGCGACTGCAACGACTGGGGCAGTGACGCAGTGACGCAGTCCGGGGCCGGGCTCATCGGCTTGGTGTTTTATTGGTTCGGGTGGGTGGGGTGAAGTGATCTTAGCATATCTTAACAGGCTTACCACACTTTTCGAAGTACATCAAGGCATGGCTCCTAAAACTGAGATCCTTGAAGGCTCACCTTTGATTCTACGAGAGAGAGAGAGAGGTAATTCTACTACTGTGTGCAACCTGGGAACTTGATGGATTCCCACAAACATGCAATTGGTTGATGATCATGTCGCCCGCCAAGACGTCCAGAGATCTTCTCCGAAGGCCTCGAAGAAGACCGTTAGACCAAAAAGTCCATTCCTGTCTTTCCACCTGTTTGCCCCAAAACCCACCGAGGGAGCAGGGTTTCCCGGACTCCGGCGGCCGGAAAAAAATCACGACGACGACTTTGGAACATGGCACGAAGTGAGCAATGCGACCCGCCGACTGCGACGCGAGCTGATTGGGAGTGTCGGATCCAAAAAGAGATCGGCGCAAGGAGCGTGTTTGACGTCGTGAGGATGCGTGTTCGACGCCGCGATTTTAGATCATGAGGATTGTGGAAATGGTTGTCAAGGTGGTAGTGTAGCCATGTAGCGAAGGCTGCAATAGATTCTCCAGATGCGGCTAGATTCCTATGGTCGGGTTGGAAGACCATCACACATATCCTGGATTTGGTGCATCAGTAAGGGACGTCCAAAGCCATTTAGATATTGGTCCAGCTCATGAGCCGCAGTGTGCCTTCCTGAGTTCCTCACGCCTGCTTTGGGCCATAGATACATATACATATATAATATTATGCATATAAATATATATATATTATATATAAGTATATATAATATATGTCCCACAGGTGAGGCCGGTCACCGATCCACCCACACCACCCGTCCCTCGGATCCCCCCGGTGGATACCCAGGCAGCCGCCCGCACCGCCGTTGATGGCGGATCACCGTGGCCGACTGCCGATCCACCTGGCCGCCGAAGGCGGCTTCGCCCAGGCGAAGAACGACGGGAGTGAATGAATCGGACTGGTCGTTGGACCATGAAGAGTGAGAGTGAGCAACAGACAAGATGTATTCGTTGGGCTGAAAAGGACATCAGGATGAAGCAGGCAGAGATCGTGTGTTTCCTAGATCGTTTGAAAGCCCAGGTTGTTTGGAAGGAAAGCTAAAACTCGCAAGGGAATTGGTTGAGCCGATCACTCATCGAAAGGTGTTCTCCCACAGAGGTCGAACCTAAGCAAAATGGATCTCTTATGGTCTCTTGTCGGTGGGTGAAATGCGCTGAATGTCCTTTGAGGAAGTGGATGCGGGTCGCAAAGACACAGACATATATGAGTAAGAAGAGTGCAAGAACACATGAGCTCAGTGGTAACTGTTTGGGCTCTTTGCTTTGCGCAAACGAGTTGCCTTTCAGGTGACGGGAATGTTGGCCAAGTTTATGCTGGCGAAGCAGGGCTGCACCGTCCTTGAGCAGGATAACATGGGTCGTGACAGTTGGCATCAGTTCGGTTTCTGTAATGGTGTCATTTCTACGGCCTAGACAAGGCCCACCGGTTCGGTGCGTATCAAAACAAAGATTATAGAAACGTGTGAACATGTGGTGTAAAGAAGCATGCTACTCTCTCTAGAAGGTCCATATACCTTCCTGTCTAGTCGCATGTTGAAGGATCAGATCATTCGTGCTTCTCTTCACCCGCTCAACGTCGCACGCCGCGGGTGGACAGGATTCGGTGACTTGCGCCTCGAAGTGGCTACCTTTACAGGCTCAAACTCAGTACCGTCATTATTGCGGGTCATAAGTTGCAGAGCTCTTGGGGGTTGTTTCAGTGTCCAGTTTTCCACCTTGATCAAAGCAGCTAGATCCTAGCTAGCCGCTAGCCTTCGCCGACCCGGTCGTCCTGCTGGTGGAAGTTAGGTTCACTCCAAGCCAATCCCATTCACACCATGCAAGTTGGATATGCACAGTCCAGTCTCCGAATCAAAGCCAACGGCCCTTTGAGACTCTTGTCCCGTGGATCAGAAGGCCAACCTGAGCTGTTGGGTGACGAAGGGCCAACCTGCTATTGGTGCCTTTTGAAGCTCCTTGCGTGCCCACGGATCTCTCATCCAACGGTCAACCCCATCAACACTGGACCAACAAACACGCCAAGTCTGTTGGTCTCACGATCTTCACGGCCCTTCCGAAATGGCCTGAACGGACGCTCCAACGCTCAGGTGGAGCAGCTGGAAGTGCCAGATCTCGATGGTTTCAGCCCGCTGCAGCTGGCACTGAGGAAGAAACATTGGGAAGCTGCCAGGCTGGACCAGCCCATCGCGATTGATTTCCATGCGCAACGCATGGGGTTGTTTGCATCTTGTGCGAAAGCAGATTTCGATGAACGGAACTCATGCCGCATGATGCTACGGATGCAGAGCCACACAGTGGCTCTCTTGCGTTCCGGCTGGGTCATGCTGTTTGGATCTAAAGGAGACGGTGCGTGCGACACACCCGTGGTGCTTCAGCACCACCCGTGAAGGTACGTTCACCTCTCCCCACGGTTGCTGTCACCCATGTGTGTGTGTGTTCTTTGTGGCTATCTTCTTTGCCCTATTCTTGGAGATGCTAGAAAGGAGATTTAAAAAAAAAAACAAAGAACACGTAGAACACAAGCTTCCGTGGCCTCCTTTGGAGGCGCCTCCACCGCTCACGGCTCCGCTCCGCACGGCTCCGCGAGGCGCCTGGCCACGTGGATCGGCCGAGAGGTGCCGGAGCTCCGACAGGTGGACGTGCAGATGGCCCGGCGCACGCCGCTGGGCACCAAGGCCGGGGGACCGGAGGAGCGGGCTGCAAGGACGTGGACCAGGGGATCGTGGAGTTTTTGAGTTGAGAGAGATCAGATGATGATCCTTTACAAAACCACCAAACCACCACCCCTGTTTCGATGTTGTAACACCTCTTCACAATGGAGTTTCTTGTTCATCAACAGTCTACGATATGTACAGCTATTTGTTAAACTGGATGAGGTTGGATTGTATATGTTGGTATGCAACTGCGTTCTTCCGCCCCCCCCCCGGCAGGTTCGTGTGAAGGAAGATATCACTCACCCTTGAGTCGGGCGAAACCTTGACGAGAGGCTCGGGCGCAGATCGCCGAGATGTTGAAAATCAACGCCAGATCGAAGGTGACAACCCCATTGGATCCCATTGGGACGTTGTTCTAAACTTGCTACACATGTTGGGAGCTGTTGGACCGAAGTAGCCACACTCACCCCTGAAAATCGAAAGGAGGAGTTGAAGGTCTTCAGGAAAGATGTCAGGCCATGTCAGGCCGGACGTGTGCCACACATGGCACGAGGGTGGCACGAAGAGCGTGTGCCGACCCGTCACCAATCATTCGTTGCTGACCACTCTGCGCATGAGGACGGTCGAAATCGAATGAAATCGATGTACCATGCAGAGTTGAGCCAAAGGGATCTCATATGGGGATGGGTACCCACCATCTTCACCCGACTGGTCGTCCACGTCCACCAGACCGTGAAGCGAGCTCGACTAGTTTTTACAGGTATATAGGTCGGTGCCCGGTCGGTATGGTTTGACCCACAGCCTTTTGTCTTTGATTCACAAATTCACAACTGTGCTGCACTGATCTGTACTGTTTATGCAAGGTGTGAAGTGTCAATAGATGGGCACAAGGCCACTCATCCACAACTGCGAGGCGGAATGCCAGTGCATAGAGATGGCAATTCATGCATTCCACCAATTCCACCAAGCAAAAACCTTTTCATTGAGGCTTCATCGGCCCACCTGCCAGAGAAATCCTCAACTTCCAAACCCACAACTTGGGGGTGGCCCGGTTGAACGTGTGAGGCGATCAGGGCCTTTTGGAGAGCTGTAACGAGACTGGAGCCTCACTGAAGCCCGCTGGCTTGGGTTTTTGATGCAGGGGGACTTGCAGAAGAGTGGAGATGATGGCGAAATGATCACAGATGAAGACTTGGGTTTGACACTTTTCGGTATAACTTAACAAGTATTTGGGGTTGTATTGGCGCGTCATGGTTATAGATCGGTGCTTAATGAGCCACCAACAATCAAACAAGAGAACAGAACCCATCAGCAAAAGGAGGAAACCGTTACTGCAAGCATGGCGTCATCACATGTCCCTTTTTGAACCTTTTTCATGA